TTTAGTGTTTAGGCAGCTTCCAGATCCAATCTTGATAAACAAGTTTTCAGGTCTAAAAATTCCCATTCAGCATTCTTCTCTTTTAATTGACAAAAGTATGTATTTATGGTGTACAACATGATGTTTTGAAATATGTATAATTGTGGAATGTCTAAATCAAGCAAATTATCATATGCATTAACTCACATACTTATTTTTTTTTGTGGTGAGAACCCTTAAAATCTACTTTCCTAGCAACTTTTAAGTATACAACACATTGTTATTAACTACACTCACCATGTTATACAACAGATCTCCATCCAGAATTACTCCTCCTAACTCACTGAAATTTTGTATCTTTTGACCAATGTCTCTCTATTCTTCCCTTCCCACCTGCTCCCCACCTTTTTTTTGCTCATTTGTTTGAGATGGAGTCTTGCTCTGTTGCCCAGGCTGGAGTGCAGTGGTGCGAACTTGGCTCACTGCAACCTGTGCCTCCCAGATTCAAGCGGTTCTTCTGCCTCAGCCTCCTGAGTAGCTGGGATTACAGGCATGCACCACCACTCTCGGCTAATTTTTGTATTTTTAGTAAAGATTCACCACATTGGTCAGGCTGGTCTTGAACTCCTGACCTCGTGAACCACCCCCCTACAGCCTCCCAAAGTGCTGGGATTACAGGTGTGAGGCACCGCACCTGGCTACCCACCGGCCCCCTTAATCACCATTCCACTCTCTGCTACTCTATGAGTATGACCATTTCAGATTTTCCATATAAATGAAATCATACACTATTAGTCTTTCTGTACTTGGCTTATTTTACTTAATATAATGTCCTCTGGGGCTATCCATGTCACAAAAGCTGAATAGTACTTTATACTACCTTCTCTTCATCCATTTATTTGGTGATGGATACTGAGGTTGATTTCATATCTTGGTTATTGTGAATAATAGCATTATTCTTTTTTAACGACAAATACTGCAGTTTTAAAATCAAGAAATTGAAAACATCAAATCAATTTATAAGTATTTACAAATGATGATTCTAAGAGTGTAACTGAGTTGTAACTCAGAGGAGAAATTCTTGAGGGGATGGATACCCCATTCTCCATGATGTACTTATTTCACATTACATGTCTCATGTACTTCATTTATATGTATACCTACTATGTACCCATAAAAACTGAAAATTAAAAAACAACTTTTCAGAAGAAAAAAAATAATGAATTCATGCTATCGATCTTAGGTTATAATCCTGGTTGTATACTCTGTCCCGGAAAGTAAAAATATCCTAGAAATACTGTTTTGATGTCCAACTATATTTTATTTATTTATTTATTTATTTATCATGGAATGTCACTCTGTCACTCAGGCTGGAGTGCAGTGGCACAATCTTGGCTCACCGCAACCTCTGCCTCCCAGGTTCAATTCTCGTGCTTCAGCCTCCCGAGTAGCTGGGATCACAAGCGTGCACCACCATGCCCGGCTAATTTTTGTATTTTCAGTAGAGATGGGGTTTCTCCATGCTGTCCAGGCTGGTTTTGAACTCCTGGGCTCAAGAGATCTGCCCACCTTGGCCTCCCAAAGTGCTGGAATTACAGGCGTGAGCCACCATGCCCAGCCTCCAACTACATTTTCTACTGACTCTCACATCATAAAATACCACACAATTCTTTGTCAGAAATGTAGCCACATGTGGTCAAGAAAATATGGCCACTATTTACTGAGCACTCTTCTTGACTTTTGGTAGATGTTAAAAAGTGCGTCATTCCTACCCTTAGGTGACTTCCAACCTAAAGAGGAGACAAACACCTGCAAAAAGAAAACTAATTCTACAAAGCAGGGAATAGTAAATACTATGAATGTAGCTCAGAGTGGAGTGATAAAGCATGAAGACTTCATAAAAAGGATGGCACTGAGCTGAGCCTGAATGATATTACCTACTTTAATGGAGCTCCTACTCTGTGCCAGGCAATGGCATTAACTCATTGAACTATTCCAATTAAACTTTGCAGACATTTACTTTTATTATTTTTTAGATAGGGAAATTGAGGCTCAAAGAGGTTAACTGTAAAAAATTACACAGTTAAGAAATAGCAGAGCTGCAACTCAAATGCACATGCCAGTCTCCAAAGCGGCTTAGATATAACATTTTCCTAAAGAGAGGGCAGGATTCAGCTCTGGTTGCCGGTAGGCTACAGAGGTGGCAAAGGTGTCAGCTGGGGTTACAAAATAGAATGGTGATTAGTAACAGTTAAGAGTTTGGCATTTGAAATCAAAAACTGGCTTTGAATAAAATTTCCTAGCTGTATATTCTTGAGAAGTTGCTTAAACTCTCTAAGCTTCTATTTCCTCACCGTAAAATAGGAAAAGTGCTGTATTTACCTCATTGAGTTGTTTCAAGGAATAAATGAGTTAAAGTATGTAAAACAACTAGCAAGTTATTATTATCATTGTTATATTTTCTTTTTATGACCGAATTATCCACTAAACATCATCTTAAATTGAGAGGGAATAGGAAACTGATTTATCACCTCTTTGTGTTAAAAGGACAGGGCAGAGAAAGCAGAGATCCCTGAAGAGACTAAAGAAATTCATGCTTCTGCTTCTGCGGAAATGGGGCCTACATTGACAGGGTCAGTATTCCCAGGGGTCTTGGCTTTGTAGCTGGTTCTGCCCCAAGCTATAAGCTGAATAAAGTCATTATTAATCTCAAGGTTTCCAATATGGCTGTTGCCACTGCATTGTGATGTGAAAGCAACTGTTACATAAAATAGCTAACGTTCACATGTATGAAGCTAAATGCTTCAACCCTTTTCTATAATTAATATTTGGATATATCAATTCTAACAAAGCCTTCTTAGTTGCTCTAAGCCTCCCTTCTTTTCCAAAGATGATGTTTTTCAATGAGATGCTATTAGTGCTTAAAATGAATGAAGTAAACTTGCATACTTTATTCCTGGTCACCTGCAGTGACATCCTGTTACTTTTTAAACCCTTCTCCATGCAGGAAAAATGTCACACTGCGTATTCATAAATTTGACACAAAAATTTAATATAAAGGAGAGAGGGCTGCTGTTTACGCCAGTCCAACCTTGAAGTTCTACCTTCTCATAATAAAGGGAATGTGGTGGCATGGCTATAGGGTCAAAAAGTTTTAATCCATTACATGTCAGTTAGAGAAAAATGAATGTGAAATATCCACATTCAGCACAGTAGCAATTTTGCATCTTTTGGATTGCAAATTTCCAGATTTGTATGTCTTTTTGTTTGTCTTCTCTCTCCTAGCGTATGAAATCGCTCTCTTTATCACATCATCATAATAGTTGTTGTTACAAATTATTTAAAGTCAATACACTTTTTCACATGAAAAGAATGCTATATAAATATAACCAAAAAGTTATTACTCATGATAAATAATTTGGATCTCAGGTTTAAAACTTCACATTTGAAATATGTTTCATAAAGTACAGAGAGAAAGCACTCAGCACACATACAAGAGACATCCAACCTCTTTCAGGGGAACTGTCAGGAAGGCTTGGTAGAAGTAATGTCTAAGTTGAGATCCAAAGCAAGTAGTATTCATCCAGAACTGATCTACTAAGCAAACCTTTGACTTTGCTCATGGAATTCTTTGTTTGATTTCCCTTTTCCTCCCTCAACTCCCTGGTGAACTCCATCCTACTCATCTTTTAAGGGCCAGATCAAATGTCATGTCATATCACTTTTCTTCATACCTCTTCACCATACCCTGGGTGGAATAAATTATTCCTTCACCTGGGTTTTCATTTACACTTTGAAGATATTTCTTACAGCATTCATCACTGATCCTTCAATTTATTAACTCACTAAAATACAGATATTCATGAAGTGCCTGGTGGAGGACATGTGAGTGCTAAGCAAGAGAGACAGCATATTTGCCCACCCTAGAGGAGGAATCAGCAATTTAATATAGTGTGATAATCACCCAGAGGACAAGAGATGGGCATCACAGGAATCACGGTGAGTCAGGAAAGATTCCTTAGGAAAAGTGACATACTGGCCAGGTGTCGTGGCTCACACCCGTAATCCCAGCACTTTGGGAGGCCGAGGCAGGTGGATCACTTGAGTCCAGGAGTTCTAGACCAGCCTGGGCAACATGGAGAAATCTCATGTCTACAAAAAATACAAAACATTAGCCAGGCACGGTGGCAAATGCCTGTAGTCCCAGCTACTTGGGAGGCTGAGGTGAGAAGATCACTTGAACCTGGGAGGTCAAGGTTGCAGTGAGCTGACATCATGCCACTGCACTCCAGCCTCGGTGACAGAATGAACCTCTGTCTAAAGAAAAAAAAAAAGAAAGAAAAAGAAAAAGTGACATATAGAAGTGAGATCTGTAAAATAAGAAGGAAGGAACCAGCAAGCAGAAGGTTAGGGTGGGAAAGAAGAATATTCTAGGCAGAAGGAATGTTGAGCATGAAGGTCTAGAGGTAAAAGAGAGTAAGAATGATGTTCTGGAGAGAAATACTGGCAAGAGATTTGTGAGTGAATAGAAAAATGGCAAGAGGCGAGCTTGGAGAGGTAAGCAGTGGCAGATGGTAGAGGGTAGTCTAAACTATGTCAAAGATACGGACTTCATCCACAAATCAATGTGTAGTCACTGAGGGATTTCACATAGGGGAGTGACTTGATGACATGTTGGTTTTAATAATAGTCCTGTGGCAGTAGAAGGTAGAGCGAACTAAGAAGGTGAACACAGGTATACAAAGAACAGTTAGGAGAATGTGGCCACAATCCAGTATATATACAGAACGATAACTATTCAATAGTTATTATTTAGGTGACTAAGTCCCAGTTAAGAGTAAAACTGTGTGTTATTCATCTTTGTGCTCATTGTACCTGTCAACAATGACTATCATGAAGTTCAGTCTAATTAACATTGATCCAGATCCAAGGAAAACACGAGATTGAATGATATGTTTTGTAATTTCTACAGAGACCATTTGTAATAAGTTTTATTATGGGAAATTTCTTTTATTTTGCAGGAGCCCTTCAACGGCTATTTCAGGCAAAAGTTAAAGCTTGATGTAACACTGGAACAAACAATAAAATTAAATGTATTATTCTTTAAGCCATGTGCTGACATTTCTTAATCCTTGCCCCTATCCATCATAGTCTCAAGCTTAATTTCACTCCTCAGCACTGGGTAAGTCATCTTGCATTGGTACTCTTTTGTCTGGATTTAGAAGGCTTTTGCTAGGATGAATTTAACAAAGTAAGTCTTTAAGTGTCATATAGTCTTATTTTATTGTCCTTTTTCTCTGAATTCAAAGTATTTTACAGCTGTTGCAGAGTAAGAAGTGTCAACTTCATTGGACACGAGGGAGAAATCTCAAACAGAGCGGGAAGCAATTATGTATTCAAGGTCAGGCAGAGCAAGAAGCATGCATCAGAGCTCCCACCTAAAGCAGGCAATTGCTGTATATGTGCACAGTTACTAAAAACAATCTGGCGACCAGGTGTGATGGCTCATGCCTGTAATCCCAGCACTTTGGGAGGCCAAGGCAGGCAGATCACTGGAGGTCAGATCACTTTGAGACCAACCTGGCCAATATGGTGAAACACCATCTCTACTAAAAATACAAAACTTTGTTGGGCATGGTGGCACATGCCTGTAATCTCAGCTACTCGGAAGGTTGAGGCACGAGAATCACTTGAACCCGGGAGGTGGAGGCTGCAGTGAGCCCAGATCATACCACTGCACCCCAGCCTGGGAAACAGAGCAAGACTCTGTCTTAAAAACAAAACAAAACCAAAATAACAACAACAACAAACCCTAGCATGTAAAGTTAAAGAAAATGCCCAAATTATTGGAGGGAGTGGCTTTCATAGAACATATTTATAACTGACGGCAAGATTTTCTATTTTAGGCATAAGTGAAACATATATAACCTATTCTGTTGTTTCCTTGGTGACTGTTTTTAAGAGCCTTGAATTTTTAAAAAAAGCTATCATAAAGCCACCTTTTCAAGGTGTCAGACATGAGCAGAAATGTCTATATATAGGTGAATAATGTGTGCCTGCTACTTAAAACAGGCAGAACAATTTCAATATAAAGACGTATACTGATTAATATTACTTAAGTAAAAGTACATGAAGGTTGGATAAAATAGCTTTTGGATATATTATATACTTCTATTATAAAGAATTGCATTTAATTTTTCATACTTTACATAACAGAAAGTGGCTATTAGTATTTTCCCTATGTTATACTATGGTATACATAATACAGCAATAAATTACAGAGCAATACAGATCTGTTGTTAACATTGAGGATTCTTTTTTGAGTTTTGTCCCAGGGGTCAGTGCTCACCTACATTTTCTGTTCAGTTGATGGGATCTTCAAAGCAAGACTGTTAGGTTGACAAATGAAAGGTAATCAACCTATCCACATAGGCCAAATTCCATAGGAAAATCACTTCAGGAATCAGACCATCAACTATCTTTTAGACCATAATTATATGCAAGGCATTGTGGTACAGTTGAAGATAATACGATATGTACTACCAAAAAAGCCTGCATATTCTAAGTGCCAAAGAACTCTCTCGCTCTCTCTCTCTCTCACACACACACACACACACACACACACACACAGAGAGAGAGAACAAGAAGAATTGTATCATGAGGCCAAGACTATATCTGGCTCCCTGTTAAATCTCAGTGTCTAATATAGTATTGGGCACAGGTAAATTCTGAAAAAACACTTCTGAATAAATAGATGACTTCACCAAAACAGAAGATTTTGTGGTTAAGGCTGGGAAATGAAGGGTGAGTAGGAGGGATTGAGGAAAGTTAAAAAGGTAGGACAAGTGGAGATAAATGTGAGGAATAAAGTGTAGATCACTATGTTTGGTATGGAAAGTTTAATCTGAGAAACCAATAGATGTGCAGTTAGAAAGATAAACTGAAGGCAAACTATGTATGTCTTGCCTGCCTAGGTAGTGAATTTGCATTTGGTTTAATAATAACTGGGAATGTGATAAATATTTTTAAGAGAGGAGGCATGCTCTATTTTTTCTAAGAAGGACTAATCTTGAAGTTATATGCAGAGCAGAATGAAAGAGAAAGAAATTAAGGCCATAGGTCCTGATAGAAATCTATTGCAAATGTTCAGAGATAAAAAGTGAAGCTTGGATTATGATGGAAGAGTAGAAGAGTTTTTCTCTTTCCTAAGCTAAAGGAACTTATTCATCTCACCATTATCATTTTCTTCATCATTCAACATTTTCTGTTTAGAGAGCACTTGGTGTGTGCTGACCACTGTACAGTGCAGCAATTTATGTGCATCCTGCCATTTCATACTTAAGATTATGAGATACATGGAGTTATTACTTCCCATTTATAGATGGGATACTTGAGGTCATAGGAGGTCAATCCCTTACGCAAAGTCACAGTGCTAGCAAAATGACATAATTAGGATGTGTTTGAGCCTGAAGCTTCTTAGTGCTTCTCTCAAGCTAGTATGTAAGGTAGAAAAAGTCTATATAGTGTGGTCATTACAGGGCAATAGTCAAAGAGAGAAGGAAAGGTTGAAGATGATACCCAACTCTTGGTAAGGGACATTGGAAAAATGCAGGGTAACATCAGTGAACTCAGTAAGATCAATGGAGTCATCCATGTGCTTCAAAATAACAAAGGTAATATTTTCAGGGGGCTTAATATAAGCTAGGCACTATAGTAAATGATCCATATTAACTATTATATTAAGGAAAAAGAAGAAATACAGATTATGCAAAACTGTAGGTGGTAAATAGCAAAGGCAGTACATAATAACATGGCTAGCCTTACTCTGGAGCCTGTAAGCCCAACTGTACCAGAAACACTGTACTAGAAATACTTCAGTTTGCTTTTAGAGAAATCACATTTGAGGGAAAGCAGTACCATCTTCTTACTATTTATTGATTTACCTACTTTAAAAAGTTTATTCCACACCTTATTTGAAAGCAATTTCTAAGCACTTTACAGAAATAAACTTCAACATAATGTGATGTAAGGCATTTAAAGTAGATAGCATATATGTTTATATATATAAAGATAGGTGTTCAAATAGCAGTAGTTGTTTTTTGAATGGCAGATGATCAGAGATCTTAATTTAAAATAATTGAGGCTTTTCTTTTCCTTAGGATTTCTATAATTGTTGTATAGCTTCTGTAATCAGAATAAAATAATGTTTCTGGCAATGGCGCACGGTGGCGGGTATGGTGGGAAGCAACACAGAAGAATTCAGTGAGGAAAGTGGAGCAAAGGGAAAATAAGGGTAGACAAGCAGCCGAAGCTAGGAGTGAGACTGGAAAACAATGGCCTTGCTTTCGACATAACATCATGAAAAGCTGGAATTAATACAAACGTAGGGACCTCGTTCCTAATCTGAAATGCTTTAGGCTTTCAAGTGCCTCTCCTCTTCATTAAACAGAGAACCAGCCATTAGTCACAGCGAGTCACAGCACAATTGTCCACTCTGCAAAACCTGACTTAATTGGAATCAACAAGGCCAGAACAAACTTCTGAATGTGTGCCAGCCTCTTTTCATGAAGGGACTGTGCAGTCAATTAAATTGGAGCTTGAATAAATCATTTTTTTTTGGAAATCAATGGGGGGGCACTGTTTTCCCTCAAATCTACCATTCTCAGGGAAGCCAGCCTCTCTCACGCATATCTTACCTAACTCAAGGGTACAAATCACTCAAGGAAATAAATTGGATACCCTGTAATATTCACTTTTTCCCCTTCAATGTCTCTATCACGTATGTTCTGTAGAAGCAGGGATTTCCCTGGTCCTGCTCACCACTGTATCCGCAGCACTTAGCACAGTGCCTCATATTAGGAACTCTAAAATGTTTGCTGAAGGCGTACCTGAATGGAGCCAAAATGAAATTATCATTGGCAAGTGTAAAGAACTCCTTAAAACCACAAAATTTTTTTTTAAATTCAGGCTTCTTTTAAAATTATTATTATTATTATTATACTTTAAGTTCTAGGGTACATGTGCACAACGTGCAGGTTTGTTACATATGTATACTTGTGCCATGTTGGTGTGCTGCACCCATCAACTCGTCAGCACCCATCAACTCATCATTTACATCAGGTATAACTCCCAGTGCAATCCCTCCCCCCTCCCCCCTCCCCATGATAGGCCCCGGTGTGTGATGTTCCCCTTCCCGAGTCCAAGTGATCTCATTGTTCAGTTCCCACCTATGAGTGAGAACACGGTGTTTGGTTTTCTGTTCTTGTGATAGTTTGCTAAGAATGATGGTTTCCAGCTGCATCCATGTCCCTACAAAGGACACAAACTCATCCCTTTTTATAGCTGCATAGTATTCCATGGTGTATATGTGCCACATTTTCTTAATCCAGTCTGTCACTGATAAAACCACAAAATTTTAATATTGTTTTTCCAAAGCATAGACCACTACAGCATGACATGTCACTTATCATTGAGTTAACCAAATGTTGTTCTATCGACGTTATACTCTGTAGTATATTAATTGTATTTATATACTTAAAAATTGAGCAATATATTTCCAAATGTAAGAAATGTATATTTGAGAAACACATTTTCCTCCCAGCATTTTCTTTATTACCTGGCACAGGAAACTAGGAATTATAATTTCTCATTTTAAGTTATGTCTATAGACACCTTGTTAGGAAAAAACAAATCTCTCCAGGGCTCATAATTTTTTCTTACATATCTTAAAATCTCAGAAGATTCTGGGAGCCATTGTTTTCTTTTTGTATAGTAAGCAATCTTTGATATTCCAAAGCCCTGGAGTCCCGGCCTATAACATTCTAGATCATCATAGCATTTGTAAAGATAATTACTATTCTTCATCCACTTACTCACCTCCTACCGTGACAGATGAATACTGCCACTACTGCTAATCATCATCATAATTATCATTATTGACCATTTACTACTGCTGGTCACTGTGCAAATCTATTTACATGTATTATCTTTTAAATGCTCTGAGGTGTTAAAAATCATCTTCCAGCCCTGAATACATGATTTATGAATCCTCTCTACAACTCTTCCCCACTGGGAGAGACTAACATGCAAATAACGAACTGCAGGCCTGAAGTTGTAATGAGTGCTGCAACAGAGAAGCAAACCAGGCACTACTGGTGCTTAGAGGAGGAGCTCCAACTCCCTGGGAAGGACAGAGAGTGTGTCTAACAGAAGGGATGGCTAAGCTGAGTCTTGAAAGATGAGAGAGGATTTGCCCTGTGGTCCTGGCAATAAAGAAGAATTGAGTAAATATTATGTAAGAAAATTTAGTAAGAATTATGGATGTATCAAGACTATTGATTAGCTCGGAGTTAGAGGTAAGATGCAGAAAGAGGAGAGAATTTGGAAAGTGCTCATTTCTCTATCTGATGTAAAACTGGTATTAAACTGGTCTATTCTTGTATCTCACATGACAGGTAAAACATTTAATTTGGGAGAAGTCTGTTCTATTTTCTGAACTGTAGAATGGAAAGAAGCTATTTAATAATAACTCTATTGCAATCTTTCTACATGCCAAGCACAGTATTTACCACTGTACATGTAATAACTGATTAAAACAAATTCATGAGGTAGATATCATTTTTCAGTTACGCAAAAGAGAAAATTAAAACTTTTAAATTTGCCCAATGTCATGCAGCTTGTACGCCTAGGAGACATTAATTGACTCAATTAATGTTTTTTGAGAGCCTGTGATGTGTCTGACAAAATTTAAAATCAGTTCAGCCTGATTCCAAAACATTTGTTTTAACCTCTGCATGGTCCTTGTCTTTCCCTTAGGACCAGAAACACAACACTCTTTTTCATACCTATTATTGCCTTTAGAACTCTCAGATGGCTTACAAACAAGACATATTCTCTAGAAGACAAAGTGTAAGGCCATTAAACACATTTGCTGTCCAGAGCATTATTAAGATTTAACACAAGGCTATGTATCATTCATTGTCATAATGTTCTGAGCACTGATTGAATTAATCGCTTAGGGCTCTTCACTTAGAAATCCCATTTCTTAGGGTGGTTATAAACTAGCAGTTAATATTTTTCCTATGTGAAATAGGGTTCAGACAAGGGAGTGCTTTAATCCTGCAAAATCGTATGCACAACACAACTATTACATCGTAAAATGATCACATGAGATAGATAATTAAATAAGAGGGGATTTCGTGCCTAAATCTAGTGTTGTGGTTGAAAAGTTTCTTATGATGTTGCACTGGTTGCTTCATAGAGTCTGATTAAATGCAACTAATAATAAATAATAATCATTAATATTTCCCTTTTAATCATTCACATAACAAAGACTTAGTGAAGATAAATGATTGACCTTCTGCTCAGTGTTGGTAAGCAATGGAGACAGGATTTAACCTAAGCTGTTAGACTCTAGGACCCGTTCTCTTAACCATATCACTATAGTCCCACCCTTAAAGGATGGCAGTGATAGATATATGGAATAAAGCAGGTAAAGTGTTTAGCATGATATGTGTCAAATAAGTGCTCTGTTCTAAAATCAGCTTCTTCAACAAATATGTATTGAACGCTGCATAGCTGCCAAGCACTGTGCTTGGTATGGAAGATACAGCAGTGACTAAATAAAACAGACATACATTGTTGGCTCAGGGAGCTACTATGTTAGTTGGAGACTCACACAATAAGCATGCTAAGTAAATACACTGTGCTAGATTATGATAATGTGCTATGGGAAATAATAATACCAAACAGAGGTCAACAGGAAGGATCCAGGTGGGGTTGTGATTTTAGATCCGAGAAAGCCTAAGTAGCTGCTATTTGATTAAAGGCTGCTGCCTGGGGGGAAAGCGTGCCAGGGTAGTGAGGAAGTAGTACAAGCGCTCCACAGTGAGCAGAGTCGTCCAAGTTCCAGGAACTTCAGGGAGCCAGGGAGGCTGGAGGAATGAGTGAGCTAGGACAGCAGCCAACTAGAGGGCAGACATTAATGGGAGGGCGTTGTGTGCAGACCATGCTGCGCTTTTTAGGCCATTTTGCATTGATTTAAGCTTTTACTCAGAGTGGGTAGGAAGCCACAGGAGGAGTTGAGAGAGGCAGTGCCCTGATCTGACTTAGCTTTTAACATTTTGCTCTGACTGCTCTAGTAAAAGGAGAAGACTGAGCATAAGGGTGGAATTAAGTGGACTGGTTTGGAAAACTGCAAAAATCCAGCTTGGAGATGGTAGCAGCTTAGACCAGAGTGGAAGCAAGGGAGGTGGTGATAGGACTAGACACAAGCTGATGGTAATCCTTTTTAGGTGGATGTTTCATCAGAATCATGGGATCAGTAAGTTGAGCTGAGATGCAGAGCCACATTGATCTGATGAAGTACTAAACAGTACATGTTACTGTTTGTTCCTAAAATGTATAAAGCTCCCACTCTAAGCAGGGCACTGTGCCAGGCACTGCAGCTAGAACACTCTGAGGGTGTCCATGCCCTCAGAGAGCTGTCCTATTAAGAGGATAATAGTTACACCATAACTTTATGTGGCTGCAGAATATGGCTATAGCACATTTGTTCAATGAATATTCACTGCATACACAGTTTTAGGGGCTAGAGATAGAGCTGAGGATAGAATAAACAAACATCCTTGCTTTCCTGGAGTTTATACTCTAGCAGAATGAAAATAAAAAATCAGCAAGATAGCTATGTAAGTTATATAGTATGTTAAAAGATAATAATGAGAGACTTCATGACGATCTTGACCACACCTGTGCAACACTGTCATAGTGAAAAATTAGAAACAATGCACTGTCCATGTACAGGGGAACAGCTTGGGCTGGACGCAGTGGCTCACATCTGTAATCCCAGCACTTTTGGAGATTGAGGCGAGGGGATCACTTGAGACCAGAAGTTTGAGACCAGCCTAGGCAACATTATGAAACTCTGTTTCCACAAACAAACAAATATTGTTAGGCATGGTATTTCTGAGGCCGAGGTGGGAGGATCATTTGAGCCCAGAAGGTTGAGGGTGCAGTGAGTTATTATGGCACCACTGCACTCCAGCCTGGGTGACAGAGTGAAACCTTGTCCCTAAAAAAAACTTAAAAAACTAAAATAAAAAAAGGGACCAGCATAATAAAATGGTATGTCCAGTCTTTAAATTACCATGCAAGAGTTTAAAAACACATAGGAAGATGTACATGAACCAACGAGGCTAGTTGTATCTCAAAACATTTCAAGAGCAAGATGACAAATGAAGTCCAAAGTATAATGTCATTCATGTAAAAAACTAAAGAGATTATATATATATATATGCACATATGCACACATATCTATATGGACCTATATTTACATATATGCATAAAAACCCTTTGAAAAGATATATGAGGTAACAGGGTCCATCTCATTGAAGGATCAAAAAATCTTCCTGGATGCCTCACATGGTTCATTGCAAACCCTCTGGGGAATGTGTCTCAGGTTAGTGTGCAGCTCATTCTCCAGCGCTTTGTGGCCGTTGCGTGATGCACACTGTGTGGCCCTCAGCAGGATAAACCTAACTTTGACCATAACTCTGACAAATTATGTACCTGAATCTGTTTCTGGAAATGCTGAGACCTTTTGGGTACACAGGATGGGTCCTGGG